TTAGAGCCTAAAAGACTGGGGAGCTGGGCATCACCAGGTGAGTACTGTTTGTCCATCCGATCAGACCTGCTGCCTTTTGCAAATAGGGCAGATTCTAGCCTGCATCCCACTTTTGTCGTACTGAGCACTGCCCAGCAGGTGGGAGTCAGGGCTGGGGAGATTGCCTTTTTGTCCCTAACCGCTGGAAGCTTTGACTGGAGCCCAAGAAGATCCTCGCCGCTGTGATGGCCCCATCCACTTAGGGTCATCTGAGGACAAGGAACGAAGCTGACACTGGGCGGGACTGCTCCCTGTTCTTCTGCATGACAGCACAGGTCACATTTGTGTGATGGGACTCTGGGAAGGGCATCACTGTGCTTCCTGAAGGATTGCCCTGGTGGGTGCTGAGAAGCCCAACATGGGTGGGGGCCGGGACGGCTGTGTCTGTGGAATGGAACAGAGCAGCAGCAGGGAGGTGGGCTCAGTTGGGTGTCCTGCAAGAGGAGACTCCCATTCCTAATGTCCTGGCTCCTAAATTTGGAAAAGGTCATTTTGGAGGTGTCTAGAAATAACTGGGAGACCTTAGAGAGCTCACAAACCCTGACCCCTAACCCATGAGTCGCTGAATACAGAGTAGTATCTTTTATGAGGCTCTTATAAGGGCTGCTGGAGAACAGTGTCAGCTCTCAGGGGGCCCTACCACATCAGGAGGAGTGGGAAGTTACTGGTAGAGGAATCCCAGCCACCATATGTCTTCCTAAAGTCAGTGCCCTCCCTTTGTGATGCAGGGAGGAAGATTTCTCATTCCACTTCACCCAGGAAGAGGGAAAGGACGCCTTCTCCTCCCAGGGGGAGGTCCTGGAACTCTCCAATTCAGAGACTGCCTGCAGGAGGATGGAGCCGTCTGTCGGGACCTGTGCCCTATCAATACGGGGATCAAGGAGACTTCCTGCATTTGCGCAAGAGGTCAGAGGAAGAGGGCCTGGCTTGGAGGTTTGAGTAGGGAGAGGCTAGGTTCAAGATAGAGGGGCAGGGTTGCTTTATGTTCTCATGCTCAGGTGCACAGCCCTATTTGCAATAGAGGCATTGAAACTCCAGTGGGCCGTGTTAGGTGGGGACACTGCTGCCAGGCCAGGACGGGCGCATTGGCCTGGTGGTCACAGAGGTGCATACCAAAGAGGAAGCAGAACAGCTGCATCTCAGACCTCCAGAAAGCGAGGCTGCACCTTGGATGGGGGTCCCTTCCAGCCCTGCTGGCTTTCCCAAGCCTGGCCCTTGCTGTGCCTGTGGGATGTCGCTGAGCTCCTTTAAAGGGCACAAACTGCCCTCATGATTTACTGTGCACCGTGCTGGCAATGGGCATTTCATATATATCTCCATCGACATTTCTGTATTGATGGAAAAGACCCTGAATCCTGGGCCAGGTATTTAGCTCAGTGGTGCCACCGCCTGCCTTGCAAGTACAAGGTTCCAAGTTCCATACACAGTACCAAATTAAATAAATAAATAAATAAATAAAATTTAAAGCAAGTTGCAAGAGCAAGGTCCTGAGTTCATCCCCGGTACCCAACCCCACTGCAAAAAGAAAAAAGTCCTGAATCCTGAGTTGGCCCATTGCAATCACCTGCAAGTGGGGCAGTGGCTTCTTCCAGGCTGCTGTTCCTGCTCTTGGCTCTGAGGCCCCTGCAACATGAGCTCTAAAGTTCTTATGAGACCCTGTCATAAAGGAGAGGGTCTGTACTGCATTCTTCAAATCTACTTTATTGAATAACTTAGCTCATTAATAAAGGATAAAGTCCATTTGTTTTTTAATATAATACATACACATGACTCTCATAGTACATCTTTCTCAGACACAGAGATACAGCAGAACACACCTATTTTCAGAAATAAAAACATATGTGATGTAGGCACTCACCACTTGTGAATCCACTTTAGATGCTCACCTGTGTGGGGATCATGAGTATTGGTTGTAAGTATTGTTAACTCTAGTAACTCCATATGTGTTAAGTTTCTCCAGTTTAGCAGGTAGAGTGTTTCCTTTGTGGAATTCCTGAAAGTTACAGTTTCTTGTCTCTGACCTTTAGATGTGTGGTTGTCCGGGTTACTACTACTCACGGTGGGTTGTTTTGGTGAACCTGTTTGCTCTTTTCCTGTGTGACCTTTCAGTTACTATGGTAAACCCATCCCATAATAGTTTGTGGTTTTTTGCTTTAAAAGGCCGGTGCTTGCCGGCAATAAACGCCGCCTTGATCAGACTCTTGTCTTGGCGTCCTTCTTTTCTCTCTGCCCCATCTCCACCCCGCTGCTCTTTCAGGTTTGAGACACTGCTGGACAGTGCTCTGCGTCGCCGGCTTGCGACACACCTGCGCGTCAGAAAGACGCACTGGTGTCCACCGGCTGGGTCAAGAGCCACATACATCCATGTGCAGCACCCGCACTCCCAGGGATGGGATGTTTCCTGCTCTTTTGAATGGTTGTAGTCACTGAGCTACAAGCCTTCATGGAAGGTGAAACTGCCTAGATAAAGACCCCTGACTCAAAACACATGAGCAAGGACACGTACTGGCACTTCTGAGTAACTGTAGACTTCAAACTATACAAGGAAATATCTCAATGCAGGAGCTCAGTACTGAATAGGTCCAGCATCAATCTCCCTTTAGGAGGGTGTGGTCTGCCTTTTATAAACAAATTCTGATCTCAAAAAGGCCTTAGTAAGATGGGCATTGGTGGCATGTGAAAGTAATCCTAGCTACTCTGGAGGCTGAGGCAGGAGGATTTCATGTTGGAGGCTAGCATGGGCAACTCAGCTAGGAGACCATTCCTGAAGATAAAATAAAAAGAGCTGAGGATATAAGGGATGTAGCTCTGTGACACAGCGCTCGCCATAGCATGCGTAAAGCCCTAGGCTCCTGAAAAAAAGAAAGGGAAGAAGGGAAGGGGAAGGGAAAAGAAAACCTTGGGGTGGGGGCTGAGGGTGTGTGGCTTTGTGGCAGAACATAAACTTAGCATTTGTGAGGTTCTAGGTTCAATGCCAGGCACCAAAAATAAACTAAAGGTCTTGGACAAGTTGTCATGATGGAGAAGACGGACTTTGGTTTTCACTCCAGAAAAAGAGAAAAGTTTTAAAGAGCAAATGCAAAGTAGGGAGCATTGGATGGAGATACTGAGATCGGGCCTGGCCATGTCACCAACCACAGATGGTGGAGTGGCCTGGGCGGAACCAAGAGCTGACTCTAGTTCACACTTCTACAAATGAATTTTCCGAGAGCTGGTGCACAGCTGATATGCACTCCTCACTGAATGGCTGGGGCAGGGACAGAGGCAACTCCAGGGAGAGGACAAAACAAAGCCAAAAAAGTAACGAAATAAAGAGCAGCGTTCTCATTTCCTACTCTGCTATCCCTATTTTGATTTTTAAATGAGGGAAAAGATGCTATGCTGATTTCTGTAAGGTGGATGAAAGGGGAAACAACCACACTCTTTCGGAACACATATCAGCATGTGCCTACCGTGGTAACAGCCACGCCTATTTGCATGTTTAAGGAGAGAAAGCAAAGCAGTGGTGCTCGGCAGGTATGTGGGACACCTGGAAATCTTTGCCCCAACTTAGATCAGATGACAATCCCTTCCATGGGTTTTTATGTAACAAATGGGAGGAGGGGCCCTTTTCTTCCCTGATTTTTAATGTCAGCATATTCTAGTAAGTACTGGTATCTCCCCAGCTCTAAATGTGGGTTCTTCTTAATGATGGGTAGGGTTATTTCTCTCCAGATGGTGGGAAGTGCCACATTAGCACTTAATTTCCTCCATTTGGTAGAGAAACAGGAACTTCCTAGTAAGAGTGAATGAAGCCCCATTGTCCATTAAGAGGGTGGAGGCGAAATCCAGGCTCTCGGATCCTGATGACTTTTTGGAAAAATTGATACAGTAGCCCCAGTCTAGCCAGACTCACTTCTCTGAGCCCACACTTGCATCTGCTCTGATTACTGAGCTTTGCAAACCCCCTTTTCCCAGCAGAGCAGTGAACTGCCAAGCTAAGCCTATGGGCGTGGGGCAGGGGCAGGAGGAACATGAGGCCGATAATCCCCTCCAACGAAACTCTAGATTGTGAGCACCAACTCTGCAATGCCAATGGTCCTCAGGTCTCCCGTAAAAGGTGCCCCACTGGCAGGAGCTACCTTCCCATCCAAAGGCGGAAATTTAACTACAAATTCAAGTGAGACCCCCTTCTTCCTAAACCTCAAGAAATAAGGAAGTCACATCAGATAGCTACAGGGGCATCAAGTGGATTCACTCAGTAAAGCAGTCATGCTGAGTATTTCACCTGAGCTGTCCCTCCCATTTTTGGCAGGGCCTGGAGGCTGGACACAGGCTGCCGCTGGACTGAATGCCAGCTTTCTGTGGTCTAGGAGCATTAATGCGAGAGAGCACTGCCTTGGATTTTTCCAGACTCAACGAACAGCATCAGCTAAACATAGCCCAGTAAGAGGGCTGCTTTGTGTGTGTGTGTGTGTGTGTGTGTGTGTGTGTGTGTATGTCTTTCCCTTTTCTTTTTTTTAAAAATCAAATTAAACATTTGAAGCTTAATTACACAATAGGACTAGAAGAACCCCCAACCTTGGATAAATGAAATGGCCAAAGGAAAAAGGAAATGCATCGTATTCTGAGAGCTGAGGCTGGAGAGGAATGAGCTTGAGAGTTAGCCTGACTGCTTGGCACGTGGCCCTTGTGCCTGAGAATAAGGACACGTGCACTAGTTACTCGTGGGCACAGTAAGAATCTGCCAGGTGGGGTGGAAGACAAGGGAGAAGAGTGAATCTGCCTTCCTGATAGAGCTGCCAAGCAACTCTTGCTGCATACCTTCACTGCTGTTGTGACAAAGCACTATGTAGGGCTAAAAGTCAGGGAATTGTTATAGCACATCTCACACAACAGTATCTGCTTGTTTTTCGCTCTGAGCTATGTCTCCAGCCCTTTTAAAAAAATTTTGTATCTTAAGACAGAGTCTTGCTAAGTTGCTAAATTGCTCAGGCTGGGCCCAAACATGTGATCCTCTTGTCTCAGCTTCCCAGACTGCTGGGACCACAGCCATTAGCCACATCCTGCTAACAGGGCAGTATTTGGAAATGGAAACTGAGGAACGTCCCGGGGCTGAGCAGTGAGCGTGGTGTGGAGTGTGCGGCAGGACTGGGGTGGCTCTGGATCGCTCCTTCTTCATAAGGAAATGGCACATGTTTTGCTCTGTACATCTCAGTGCCTTTTCTGTGCCCTGAATGCCACCACAGCAGCACTCCTGCCCCTTGTTAGACAACCGTCAGGAAGTGCCTGGAACGTTCAGGAATAAGAAGCCCCCAATGGAAAATCATTGTACTCAAAGAGCGTGCAAGCTGAGGCAGAGGGTCCTTCGCCTTTGGTGTCTGACTGCTATTTCTTCACAAGCCTCCTGGTCACAGGGGCTGTGCAGGAGCAGTTATTGGTCTTCGTCAATTTACGGGTGGCCCAGCGGATGTACACAGGAAGCACACCGTGAAAAAGCGTGACTGATCTGAAAGCAGAATCAGCTGCTTGGAAGAAACCAATGGGCTTGGGGGTTACTTCAGAGTAAATGGAAGAGACAACGTCTGATGCCTGTTGCCTCAGCATTCAAAAAAGGCGTATGTTCCAGCTAGCAGATTATTTACCCATTGAATTCACCTGATTTCAGACCAAATCAAGAAGTTTTCAAGGGCGTGCCAAGCCCTTGTATCCTAGAGATACAATCACCGCTGAGACACAGTTGAATGACTGGAAGCCACTTTCTGCCTCTGAATGCATGCTCCAGGTTCTTAAATCTCAACTCTGATTGCTCTAGTAATTCGAGAAATAGCAGACATAACATACCCCTACCCCAGTGACTAACATCCAAAATTTTACAAGAATGAAAATTAAAATATATATATAAGGAGGCAGGGAAACATCTCCCCACCGTGCAGTACGCAGGACTGGGGTCTGCCTGCACCCCCAGGGATGGGCACTAGCACTCCCCATCCAAGTTCAAGGGCTCCCCTGCTACGGCCAGCTGCCAGTCATCCCAAGGGTCATCTGAACTGCTGATTTTTCCAAAAGTCTTCTCAATGCAGCAGCAACCACAGCAGCTTTCCTGCAAAGCAAACAAAATATGAATCTTGTTAATTCAGCAGGACTTTTAAAATTGTAATTAGTTGGTTGTGACCTTTAGGAAAAGCACAGATGACTTTTTTATAATGTATGTGTGTATGGTGAGGGCAGCGGGTGCTTCTTGACCAGTTCAACTGCTTACCAGCATTGGGGTTTTTGCTTTTTTCCCTTTAGTTTATGGGAGACAGTTTAGCACCACTTGCTCTAGTGAGGGACAAGGCCTCTTTGTTTCATCTGGAGCTTGACTTCTGAGCTGTTACCACAGCCACGGTCAGCTGGATCCCAGCATCAAAGGGAGAATTTGGGGCTCACAGTGAACAGCCTTCTCTTGGGATCTGGGGGCTGCTGTCGGGACCCCGCAGATGCCAAGATCCACAGGTGCTCGCATCCCTTATAAAAATGCCTCCGTGTTGGCAAAGAAGCTATGTTGATCCTCCTAAGCAATCTGCATCACCTCTAGATTCCTTGTAACACCTAATACGGTGAAAAGACTGTGCAAACAGTCTTTATACTGTTTAGTGAGGGAATGACAAGAATCAAGTCTACATATTTAGCACAGATGCCATTCTTTTATCTAAATATTTTGAATCTACAGTTCACCGGATCTGAAGATAGGGACTCACGGATACACAGGGAAGACTGTCCTTCCATTTGCTCCATGACCGCTGCTAACCTGGAGTCACTCTGCTTCCTGCCCTAAATCCTTCCTATAGGACTCAGGGTGTGTCCTAAATGTAGGTCTTTTCGGCTGGCAAAAGTAGCAAGGGAGGGAGCGATGAACTGAGTGCCACCAGGTGGATTTTTGCAGTGTTTCCTTGAGGCATTGAGAAACCTCTAGCAAACTGAAGATTTATATGATTTATATGCCCTACACGACACTGTGGATCATGACTTATTCATAGGGCCTGGGGCGCTGTCTCTTTCCACAGGAATAATCATCAACCACCAGATTCTTAAAATCAATATTATCTCAAATTTGGTTTCACTCATAGTGCATCTTGCCAAAAAACTTCATCTCACCCTGGCAAGGAATAGCATTGTGAAGAATAATTTTTTTTAACTTCTCAAATAAATCTGCTCCCAGAATTAATATCTGACATTTACATTTTAATTAAAAGTTAAAAAGTAGGGTCGGGGATTTAGCTCAGAGGTTCTGTGGCCTGCCTTGCAAGCGCAAGGATCCAAGTTCAATCCCCGGTACCACCCCCACAAAAAAGTTAAAAAGTAAAGTTTTGGAGTACAGCTCAGGGGAAGCCCAGCATTGAGGCCCTGGGTTCTATACCCAGAACCACCAAAAAATAAAAGCAGAAGTAGGTGAACTAGGGACCAGCTGGATCCTGTGGATCTGTAGTGATTCCTCCTTGGCCAGCAGAGACCCAGATGAATTTCAGTGACCCAACCACAGGGGAACCCAGAAGAGGGAGGCAGGTGGCCAGTGTGACACCAAGGCCACCGAGTCCGGAGTGGTCCCACCCTGCAGGTCCTGCAGAGGCTGTATCTGACTGCACCCAGCCACTCCATTGTTTCCGACCTGCGCTCCACACAACCCTCAGCAATTCGACTGCCGCTCTCTCCCATCTGAATGAGTCTGGAGTGCCAGCGTTGGCGGAAAAGGACTCTACCTCTTCCAACCACCATTTCCTCTCTGTTCTTTCCCTGCCAGGCCCTGGCAACAGGCCAGCCTTGGAATGCACCCCCTGTCACCCGGCAAATGGTTCCCACCAGACCTCAAAAGCAACTCCAGCACTTCTGGTGGGAAGGTGGTTTGTGGAAAACCTTCAGGGTTTGTGGTGGCTGGGGACAAAACTGCTTCTGAGGAGAGGATGAGAGGAGAGAGAGAGGAAGAACAGGCAGGATCCTGGGCCCGGGCACCCACGGTTCACCATGAAGCAATCCACTGAGTACAGTAACCCATGCCTCAAGAAACACCAGGGTCCTTGGGACAAAATAACCTCCTCTGCTTTCCATAACTTTATCAGCCTTGTTATTGCTAGTGAGCAAGAACGGTCCTTGAAAATATAAAGCACCAGCCTTCCCATTGACTGTTCTCACAAAAATATCTGCAGTCAGAGAGCTCCAGCCTAGAAAATGTCTATCAGAATAAGGGATTAGGGCCAGTGAGGGCTGAGGGAGTAGCTCAGTAGTAGCACACTTGCGTAGAGCAGAACACTCTGAGTTCATTCCCCAGAACTGCAAAAAAGGGGGGATGAGGAATTAAGGGGGAGCAAGAACATAGATTTATACATCATGAATCCTTCGCAGTTATTAAAATTTAGCTACAAAAATGGCTATGAACTTACCTCCCAAGATTAGGGAGCTGGGGGGTTTCCAACCCCCTCATGAGGACATAAATGTTGGATTTCTAAAAGTCCTTTGTTAGTGTACTTCTCTAATCTTAACCTTTACTGTATAGAGGAGCTGGATTACTGATATGAAAGAAAGTATTCACGTATAAGACTACCCCTTACTAATTCCAACAAGCTCCACGAGAAGCATTTAGCATACATCTAGTTTGGATGCAGTGGTGTTATGTGGGGTCAGAGAGCTAAGCCAAGGCATCTAAGGGGAAAATAAAATCTGGTTCTAACTTCAAGACAGCGGAGAGCACCGTGCTCGCCGCTTCCTGCCTGCGCAGCTCTGGGTAAATTCTTTAGTTTCTCAGTCCTGAGACTTGGTTTCCCTATCTACATACAATTGTAAGGACTACGGGAAACAGTTTCTGGTTGGAGGCTGGAACCTACTGTGCCGATTATCGATTTTCTTCCATGTTCCGGGCCCTGGCCCCAAACTGACTTGGGTGAGCTCTCCCGGGCCATGCAAGGAGCTCTGCCGTCAGACTACTCCGCCCCAAGTGGCAGGGAACAGAACTTCCTCAGCTAGGACGTGGCAGAGCCAGGGTACAAACACAGCAGCCTGAATTTGGGACCCCAGCCCAGGGGAAACATTGCCCTGCTTCCCACAGCGTCTGCAAAAATCACCCAAAGTCTTTCTCGTTTCTCTTGCTGAAGAGCAGTACACACTCCTGTTCAGGAAACTACCTGCAATCAGGAGTGCACATTTTCAAGACTGCTTGAATGTGTGATTTCCTAGATTATAGCCCTAATTATTCACCAAATACATGGAATTTTCTTTCTTCTCAGAAAAAAAGAGAAGATCTGATACCAACCTTTCAAGGGGATGCCTTCCATGGACTATTCGGTCACAAGATTATGAGCATTGGAGCTGCAGTTCGTCTAGGGAAACCAGGAGATGTGTGGGGAAGGATTAGAACAATTTTCATCAGTTCCTGACTTAAGAACACAGAAGAGTCAGTAATTTACTACTTAGTCAAAATGCTCTTCAAGAGATATTCTCAAAGTCTAAAATGCTGCTGACCCCAGGGGCAGAAGCACTTGCACCCTCCCCACCCGCCGCAGCAAGTCCTGCCCCACTTTCCACCAGCATCATCATCATCATCACGTCCGCTCCCCCTCCTTACACTAGAGTCAACACTCAGGCCCCAGTCATGCTTAATTTGTGCACTGTGTCTGTCGGAGCCAATATTTGTGGTTGTTGGGCTGCAATGACTGCAAAGATGAGCCAGACCTGAGATGGTTCCTTCCAAAAGCTTTCAGATCTAGTAGCAGACGAGGGTTATGTGAGTGCTACTAAGAGAGTGGAAAAGGAAAGGAAAAAGAACCTGCAGTTTGGGGATCAAGAGAAGCCATAGTAAAGGATCTGGGGAAGAGTTGCTTCTGGTGGGGACATTATTGGGGGCATAAAAAAGGCTGGGGCCACCTCATGTCACATTGAGCCTAAGAGAGAAGGCAGAGAAATTCAGGACCGCAATTCCAAGGGGGGAAGTGCTAGAGTACAACTGGCATGCTCAAGTGATTAAGAACATATGAGTCAATGAAAAGAGATAAATAAAAGTCTATAAAACATTTTTAAACCAAGTGTGGTGGCTCACACCTGTAATCCCAGCATTTGGGAGGCTGAGGCAGGAGGAGCGCTGTGAGTCTGAAACCAGCCTGGGCTACTTAGTGAGTTCCAGGTCAGTCTCATCTACATAGTGAGACCCTGTCTCAAAAAAACAAAAAAATAAAATAAAATAAAAATAAAACATTTTAAAATTAGAATTTAGGTCCAATGGTAAGCATTTTTGGACAAGAATTAATTTTCAGCATAAAGGTAAATCCTTATTTTAGAGAACATATAATAACAAATATTATTCCAAAAACAAAATTCTGGAAAAATTTAGCCTCCATACAGGCTGAGCATCCCTAACTCAAGACTTAAATTTGAAATACTCCAAAACTGGAAACTTTCGGAGCACCAGCATGACACCAGAAGTGGAAAGCCCCACACCTGACCTCAAGTGACAATTCACGGTCCAACTGCACATTTACAAAAATATCACTTACATTACCTTCAGGCCATGTGTACAAGGTGGAAATGAAATAAAAATGAATCCCATGCTTACAGTCCTGTCCTGTCCTTAAGATTTCTCATTATGTATATGCAAACATTCTAAAAGCAGAAAAAGCCCAAAATCTGAAACACTTGTGGTCCCAAACATTTTGGATAAGGGATAGTCCACCTATTTTTCAGTGAAAAATAAAATATATTGTTTGAAAATTGGCTTTCAGTAGTGCCAAATATGTACAGTACTAGAAAGGTTCTGGAAAAATGATTCAAGCTCCCTTCACCGGTACAATAATACACTGGGTGGCAAAGGTCTCCCCCAAACTCCAGCATTTACCCCCATCCTCCACGCTCTCATCTACATAGTGGGCAAAATAACAATGGCTGCTTCCTAGGTTAGGCGTGAGGGATACATGAGTTAATTTTTATAAAAGAGTTTGGGTAATGATTGTCACAGCATCACATAATGATGACTAATTAGACTTATATGATAGTTTTTTTTAATTGCCAGAATTATTGAAATATTTATTTATCTCAGGTACCAGAAGCCGGATGGAGTAACCAAAAGGCAATTTTTGTTCTTACATTTAAAAATATATATATTTTAAGCTCTCTTTAGGGTATGTAATGTCATTAATTCTCTGCTATGGTTTCTATATTGTCCTGACACATCAAAGTGTATTTGGACACCAATAAGCTTGGATAAAAATATGTTGGTGGAAAATGGGCTCAAAATAAGTTGGTTACCCTAATAAGCGGTTTATGCAGTCTGGACGAGCTGCTGGCTAGGTAATAAGTCTATTTTTACTTGGAATCCATATTAATTATCAAGGAAAGGTATATTCAGACACAAATAAAACTCAGTGCTGATGCTGAATTTAGAAATAGAGTTAATTTCAATAAAAACTAGATGTGGAAAAACTGAGTACCTGAAGCACAGTCATTCCAAGGTTTGTTGGTCAGGGGAAAAATTCCAAACCCCAGGGAGTAGGGAGGTTGAGGAGAAAAAGTGAAGGAAATGAAAATGTGTTGAGAACACACTAAGTGAGGCCCCAGCAGCAGCCAGCCTACTGATGTGCACGTCGGACCTGTCCCCCGTGAGCCTGAAGGCATGAATGGCTTACTGCATTTACGTGTGTGCTGCCCAGCTAACCATCCTAAACATTGAGAACAGTTACTTAAATGTCATGTATCTATATCCGTGTTATTTCTAGAATCCATGATTATTTGGATGAAAACAACCTGAGAGAGACAGAGAAACCACTTAGGAAGCTACCATCACAATTCAGGGGACAGATGTCCCAGGTCAAGACAACCATGGGGATGGAGAGAGTTGGGAAGATTCCAGAGGAATAAGGTACAGGATGGGACATAAATTAAACATAGGATTAAATATAGGGGATGGTAGAGAAGAAGAAATAAATGGTCTGCTTGACACTACTCAATGGCATCTTTCACTGAGAAGACAGTGAAAGAGGAGGTGAGTTGGGGGTGGGGAACAAGTTTGGGTTAGGGCTGAAAAGACCCAAGTGGAAACATCTAGTGCACAGATGAATATATGAGTCTGAAAGTCAGGAAAGAAATCTGCACCAAAAAGTTGTATGAGGGAGTTGTGATATAACAGTTTGGCAATAAGAATAGAAAGAAATTTCACTGTCTGAGGTTAGTACAGAATATAGGCGCCACTGTTTTCAAAAAAGACTTCAGTCTTTCATCTCTGGTAAAAGTCTTCTTCACTTATACTTATATGGGCACCTGGGCCAAACTGAGTATTAGAGTTAAGACTGGTAGTACATGTTTATGATTCCAACTGCTTGGGAAATGAAAACAAGAAATCACAAGTTCAAGGCCAACTCAGAAAACTTAGCAAGATCTTGCCTCAAAAGAAAAATTTTTAAAAGGGCCAGAGACATAGCTCAGTGGTAAAGCTTTTGCCAGGCATGCCATGAGCCCCTGAGTTCAATCCCTAGCACAAAAAAGAAAGAAAGAAAAAAGATTTGGTGCCCAGTGTAGACTAAACCCAGTAAGTAGGGAATTCAGAATTCGGAACTGTTTTATGAAATATTTCTCTTGAATGTACGTGAGCATATCTTCCCCAAAATGTATGTTCTATACATACATACATACATACATACATACCAGGACACATATGTGTGTGTTTATGTGCATAGTATTCTGAATAATAATGGATGCAAAGATTTCATACTAAGCATTTATGCTGAAAATATTATTCTATTTAGAAAAACAAAATGCTCAATAAAATATTTTAAGCAATTTGACACTAGCACAAGATTTTCAAGCTGTTAGAAAAAGCAACAGAGGAACCTCATGAAAGGTTAAAATGATGTAGCTTCTGATCACCAAAAGACAGGCAGACAGGAAAAGAGGAGGAAAACAAAAAGGTCTTGGTCACCTGTGCCTTGAGTCTGGCATGGAGCTTGTGGTCTGATAACCAGGGGTGCTTGAGAGCTTCACTGGCACTTATTCTCCAACTAAAGGTAAATTCAGAGGCTTATTAGTTGGGACACACCCAATGAGGCCTGCAGCTGCAGTTCATGTCTAGTCTGGCCTGCACCTTTGGTAGACCAGATAGCTGAATGCTAAAGTCACAGTAAGATCAATCCCTGTGTGTTATGGAGAATGGTACAAGCAACCATTAGATCTGATCAGGGTAACAACACTGGTAAGACAAGCAAGACCAACGATCAAAATTCTTGTTAATAACTGACAATCTACTTCCAATAACTGTATATGGAACCCTTTTTATGACATAACATTGAGCCTCCTGAATTGAACTCCTGACGGTACAAGAACAAATTCATATGTTTATCCTAAGAACAAAATGCTACAGTGATGCTTGGTGATTACAAAAGCAATTTGCGATTTAAATCTTTTGAATGTGTATTACTAACTTTTGAATTAAGAAGGTGTTTTTCTATTTTATTGGTACATTTTAGGTATACAATATAATGACATTCATCATTGGAGATTTGTACCTTTAAATCCTAAGAAAAATGCTACAGTGATGCTTGGTGATTACAAAAGCAATTTGCGATTTAAATCTTTTGAATGTGTATTACTAACTTTTGAATTAAGAAGGTGTTTTTCTATTTTATTGGTACATTTTAGGTATACAATATAAAAACACA